ACTTTACTATACAATTTATGAGGTATCGAATGTTCAATGTTTTTAATACTATTTGAAAATAAAGTATCTTTTTTTTTATTTCACTTGTTTTGGGAACTCCTTGGCTAAAAACTCTTGTAATTAAATTACGTTCCTTTGATAACACAAATTCACTTTTATATGAAAAGAATATATATATGTGTTTCTGACGTATGATCACAATCCATATGCGATTCAGTACTTGCACTTTTTAATGCTAATGTTACTGAATTTTGTGATCTCACATGTTTATAATAAAATTTGGAGTTTCGGATTTTACTTGAAGTGGTAAAATATTCAAACCACTTCGAATGAAAAAATAGTGTCTTCGGTTAGGGTTATGTTTGCAGCACAAAAAACCCCATTATTAATCTAAATCATTATACATCTACGCGGTTTGGAAATTGGAAAAGTCCCAAGAGTTTACCACTTTCCTAAACTTTTTCGGGAAACGAGATATGGTCTAAAGTCATTTCTTTTTTGTCGTCGTCCAAAAGCATTTAACACATGTTATTTACTACTAACTACTAGAACATTGTTCAAAGTAATAACAATAGGAGTATTAACTTACGTATTAATGTAAGAAGGTGATTGAACAAATAACAAAATCGATACTTTTTCATTCATAAATCAATGAAATGAGATGTTCAACAAAAATTATTAATTCAGATTTAGGTGCCATCGATGTCTCTTATAAATCTTGGAAAACACTATACATGGATGAGACGAGGGGATAAGGAAGCAGATTAGGTCTTATTTCCACGACCACAATCTCTATAATCTCCACTTATTTGAGGTGAAAGCATCTTTTGAACTCTTTTTAGGTTTAACCGACCAATTTCTCAAAATTTTCTGTGCATATCATTTGTTATCACTGTCGAATAGAAATTATTGTTTTTCATTTGATATGTGCATAATTGATATAATTTACATTATTGAACTTATAAACACAAACATTATTGAACTGCGATGCACCTTTTTCTTTTATCAAATTTTGATTTTTGTAAAGTAAGTGAGGTCGTTGTCCAGACCACTTTTCCTCAGCATTCTAACTTCTAAGGGAAGCGACCGGACCGGAAGTCATTTAACACATGTGTGGTTTAGTATAGGAAAAATCATTGTTAGCTACACGAAGTATAGGACATTACATGCCTACACATCTAGACTATAATAATGTATGTTTAGTTACATCAACAAATGTATAATACATAACGACATACATAGTGTTCACCCTAGCCGCGTTTCTCTCCCAAACTCAAGAATCGAGACAATCACTATCAACCATATCTCCGACGCCGGTGAAGTCGCGGCTTGCCGGCGTCGGACCGTCGGTCCTACTACTAGCGTCCTCTGTCCTTACTCGAATGTTATGGCTGTTGTTGGCTCGTTATCATTGCTCTTCTTCCATTTCGGCCACCACATGAGGAGGAAGACCACGACGGTTGGGCCTGGTGCAGTCTATACTTTGCCTCGCCGGCGAGTTAGGTCTTCGGCAAGCGTTGTTGGTAATCTTCTTACCTCTGGTTCAGAATTTCTATCGGTTTTAAACCGAAGCCTTGTCCTTATGAACGCCGGCAATATTCAGCCTTTGCTGATTGAAACCGCCGCTCCACCCCTGCAAATTACTATCGTCTTCTTTCTACTGCGATTTGTTTTGAACTTCATACCGTAAAATATGGAGAAGACGATTTTCAACATTTGCTCCGCCGTCAGCTCCCTATCCACCATAGAACAAATTCCGGCACGACGGAACTATCAATCTAGACCCTGTGGAACTAGAACCTTCTCGGGTGTTCCCCAAAGTACCATCTTCGCCGATGTGGCTGCAAACAAAGCCGGTTACAACCCACCGGATTCCAACCCACCGAATTTTAAGCCAGCATCGGAAATCCTCTACACACAATCTTCAAATTTGAGAAATCTTCACACAGATAAGGGAACGGGTTTGGATCCGACGTCATGTGCGACTTCACCCTCGTCATCGATTTGTCTATCTGAACCACCTCTCCTCCCCCTAGAAGAAATCCGATGACCTACTCCCCCTTGGGCCTAATTCACAAGTGGATCAGCAAATGGGCCTGGCCCAAGCTAAATTCAGGTTTGTCCAGCCCACGTGGCCCATTCTCTATTAGTTGCCTAGGCCCAATAGATTTAGACTTAAAAACATATTTGCAAAAATCATACATGCTTTTGAGCTTATTGGCTTCTCTCCTCTGAGAAGTCTAAAGTTTTCTGGATTCTCAAATCATGTAGTTTTTATTGATGTACATCTGCTACTGTGAGAAGACACAAGTTTTCTGGGTTCTCAAACCCTGTAATTTACTCCCGGTGGAAGAGTCTAATTCCACTTTCGGCTATCTCTTTGAGACTGGTCGTTTTTTCTTCCCTCTTCTGGAGAGTGGTTGAATCCCCAAACATTATGCCGGGAACTTCAAAGTCACACTAGAAAGTGACTACCCTGAGACTCTCCAGCTTTGCCGCGAAAACCTTCTTGACGCATTCGAGTCACGACTTGAATTCGCTGTCCATCTTCTACGATGATTTATCTACTCTTTGTTTTATTGCATTTCAATTATGTTATAATGATGAAAGATGTTTAATTCCCTCCTTTTGTACTTTGATCAGTTAATGAATGAAGAATGCTTGTTGACAAAAAAAAAAAACATAACGACATACATAAACTATATGATATTACATAGCTACAAATATGAAGTGAAACAATGTGTTTTTTACTACACCAACAAAATTGTAATGCATAGTAAATTACACACAAAGAAAACCCATGTTAAAAACAATATTTATATTAATTTTGTCAAGATTTTTGTCTAGCCGCGATAGAAAGCATTTTGATAAAAATAAACTAAATAAATTTTAATCCTAACCCAAACCCAAATTTTTTAACCCGGCCTAAATTTCAAAACCCACATGAATCATACCGAAAAGCAAAATTCACATTTAAAACGAATATATTTGATAAATTAATCTATTTTCACCAAATCTGTCATAACTTTCAACCAAGCTATTAAAATGATCTCAAACCATTTTTAACTGAAAATTAACTCTTTTTAGCTAGTATGTTAAAAACCAAATTAGATGATGAGCCATAAATATTTTGGGTCATTAGATCATTTATTAAATTGGTCAGGCTGGAGACCA